TCTTTCTCAGTAGTTCCGTAGTTTTTCTCGTATTTAGTGAGACTTCTAGAAGCAAAAGCAATGACTCGTTCCTGACCATTTTGAACTTGTGTTAAAACACACCCTAGCCCACTGTCCGATGCATCACATTGCAAAGTAAACGGTAAGTTAAAATCGGCGCTTGATAATATAGGTGCAGACACCAGAGCTTGTTTAACCCTTCCGAATGCTTGTTCAGCCTCTTGGGTCCAGTTGACCTTTTGTCCCTTCTTCTTATTTTTCAAGAGGTCATTAATCAGAGCCATCAGAAAAGAGAAATTTGGTATGAACCGGCGGTACCAACTACATAAACCTGTGAATCTCTTGACTTCCGTTGTGTTTCTTGGTTGAGGAAATTGTACCATAGCCGAAACTTTTATTGGATCGGTTCGAAGGCCAAATTTATCTACTACAAAACCAATATATTCAAGTGATGATCGAAAAAAGGTACATTTGTCAATATTAACTGTTAAATTTGCTTCGCTCAAGCGTCTTGCGACTTCATGTAATGTTTTGATGTGTCCTTCAAAAGTTGAATTTATAATGATTATATCATCCAAATATACGAAAGCGTTTGGCTCCATTTCTGGTCCAAAAATAGCATCCATCAATCTTTGTTGACACTGGGCTGCATTGCAAAGCCCGAACGGCATAACCTCAAATTGGTACAACCCTCTTCCAGCCACAGAGAAAGCAGTTTTTTCCTTTGACTCATCGTCAAGAGGTATCTGCCAGAATGCGCTACGTAAATCCACAGAGGATATGTAGTTAGCACCCCCTAGGAGTGATAAAATTCTATCAACAACAGGTAGTGGATAGCTATCTTTTTTGGTTAGTGAATTCAACTTTCTTCCATCAAAACATAGCCGATATTCACCATTATCTTTTTTTACTAACAGCACTGGTGAAGACCATTCACTATTAGACTTTTCAACAACATCTAACTCTAACATTTTGTCTAACTCCTTATTCAAATGTGTGAGCATATAGGGCGACATGAGATATTGGCGCTGCTTAACAGGCCTAGCATCAGCTGTTTCTATGTGATATACAATTTTATTAGTTCTTCCTAATTTTCCATTACCAGAAAGTTCTTTGAATTTGGAAATAACACCTTCAACTGCAAATTTTTGATCTGGGGACAAATCTCTTAAAGCTTGAACTTTATCAGTAGTGATAGCATCGTCATTATCAGATCCGACTGTAGCGATTTCGACTTCAGCATCACCTCTGACCACCCAAGTATTATCATGAAAGTCAATTTTCAGTTTGAATTGTCGACAAAAATCACTTCCCATAATGAGAGAATAATTTAGAGAAGGCACCACCAAAAATTTTATAATCTGACATTTATTCTCGATACAGATAGGAATCTCAACCGAACCAGTAACACTTTGCGTAACTCCATCAGCAGTTACAACAAAGTTATGACAAGACTTATGGATTTTTAAATTCAAACTTTCCAAAAATGTAATTCCTTTCTTTCCAATGGTACTACTATTTGCACCAGAATCTAACAAAGCTATTATATTTTTACCAAAAATATCAACTGACACATATGGTCTATTATCCAATTCTTTTTTTACAAAAATAGGCGATATACTGCTCCTCAATTCCTCAAAATAATTCTTCACAAATTCTAAAAGCTTGCGTTGCTCATCATTAAAAGATTTCTCTATAGGTCTGGCCTGAAATTCAGAAGATAAAACCCGGCCAACATGGTCTATCTCCTGGGAGCGTTTCCCGAACAATCCCCACATTCATTTTTATTAACATTGGGTTTACCGCACCCATAGCAAAATTTAGTTCTTTGCTTTAAACAATGCCTGAAGTGGTGATTCTCAAGATTACAATTATAGCAAACAATTGTTTTCCTTGTGGGATTACTATTACTGGTACTGGTAGAAGGTTCCACAGGAGTGTGAGAACTTCTTAGAGTTGACCTAATATTTTGAAAATTTGAAGTTGTGGAATTTGAATTTGTGGAATTTGAATTCCTGAAATTTGGATTCCTAAATTGAGAATTAGAGTTTCTAAAACCTGAGCTTTGAGAATGTACCCTTGGAAAATTTGACTGTTGTGAAGATGAAGCTTGGGAATTTGAATTACGATGATTCTGGTTTCTTTGAAATCTGGAATTTTGAAAACTTCGACTTTGATAACTACGATCAGTAGAATCCAAACTACAATTGTTAAATTCAGCATCTATATCAGAGGCAATGGAACTAACTTGAGTTCTACGATTAGGTTTAATATTGAGCTCTTTAAAAACTTCCTCTAAGGCCTTTACATCCTTGATTAATTCTTCCACAGTAGTGTACTTATTCAGAGCAAGTCTCTCAACAAATTCAATTTTCAAATTTTCTTGAAGCCATTTGATTTTTGTAGATACTGCTGGAGGAGAACTTAATCGATTAAAGAGCTGTTCCATAACTGCCACAAATATAACTACAGGCTCATCATCAAATTGCTTCCGATGCTTTATTGTTTCCCAAACTTCCTCATCATAGTCCTTGCTCAAAAAGTCTTGTTGTAGCCTTTTAGTGAGAGAGTCCCAGTCTTTATCTAACTTAGCATCCTTTACATGGCGAAGCCATAATAAAGCTTTCCCAGAAAATAAGTCAATGGCTGCCTCATACAGCTGTTGCTTTGTGACATGCCTAGCCTCTGCTAATTCATCAACCCGCTCTAAAAATGATTTCACACCTAATGATTTTTTAGACCCATCAAATTTAATGTCCCACTTATAAACTGAAACTGGTTTAGTGACAGGAGGAATAACGATATTAGGTTGGAATTGAACTGATGTGCTGGGCGTAGCAGGTGTCGGTACACTTGCTGCAGCAGCGGCTGCGCGTTCAGCTTTTTCCTCTAAATCGGCCTCTAACGTCAGACAAGTTGCATAAGTTTCATTTTTATAATTCACTTGATCAGGTTTCGTAGGATCTACTACCATTCTCTTTAAACGCATCAAAACATGATTTAAGCGAGCTTTATAACGAGCATAAGCAGAATCAGCAGTAGTGCTGTCAAAGTCATTGATAAGTGTTGTTAGACTATCCAATGAATTATTTATCTGGGTCTGATCAGTATCAAACGCATAAGTCGGATCTTTCAAAGACAAAACTGAGATACCCTCTTTCTTTTCCTTCCTAACAGTTGTTGACAGAATTTTACGTTTCTCATTCATATCACGAGACGTGATAATTCCCCTAATCCGAAGCTCATAATTGAGTTCCTCTATTAATAGGTGTCCGGACCTAATGTCAGATTCCATGGTTCAATAGATAAAAAAACTCTTCATAAATTGAAAAATATGTTTCCAAAAGAAACTCTAAGTTCCAAAAGGATTGCCTATCCCACACAGTTCAGCCCAAAATGTTATCTTTAATCTCAAAAAATTTGTTTGGAACTATCAATATCGAGCCGAAAAATTTAGAACCTCCAGAGGAGGTCCCATCCAACCATCACAAATCAAAAAGTTCTTTGAAACTGTAGAAAAAATATTTCCGAAATTTTAGGGTGATTGGTTGACAGTCTCAAGACCTAAGAGGAGTACCTATCTAGTTGATGAAAACCAGAAGAGTTCTCTTAAACTCTCAAGGTCTGGGAACTATCAACATCAGCCAGCAAAATCCAAAATTCAACTTCAATAAAGTTACAAAGTTGGTCTATGAAAGCTAAACTAAGGTCTCTTAAACTCCAGAAACTACTAAAACTTTCGACTCTCAATTGCTAATTTCCTTTTCCAAGAAAGTAAACATTTAGCCAATACCAGCTAGAAGAGCCCTCTTGAACTTCCGAAACTCTGAATTACTCACAAAAGTATGCTAATACTGGGGTCAGAATAATGTTCAACCTAAGGGAAAGTACAGATTATACCCAAGTTTCAGCAGTATGAAACTCAAAAAAAAATTTGACAATGTACACGAACTTCTTAAAAGATTCGGATTTAATCAAGTAGCTATGTGCTAATACATGGGTCAGAGATTTTCAACCAAAAGGGAACTCAACACATGCCCAAGTTTCAGCAGTATGAAACTCAGAAAAATATTTTTCAAAAAAAATTTAATCAATCAGTAGTTCCTTGTACTACTGCAAGAGAAAATCAATTAGACCTGCAAAGCGTCAAACAAGCTGTGGGTCCCCACTGTATTATCAAAAAGGAAGAGCCGCCAAAGAAATTCCATGTACACTAAAGTAAATCCGCTTTTGATTTATTATATATCCCCAACACTCTGTATTATTATGTCAATCTTTGTTCAAAACTTATAAGTGAAAATGAAGATAATTTCCTGGTAGAAAATATGTTTCTCACCCAAAATTCCAATGATCCTGTAGTTGGATTCCAATCAGCTTGAATTAGACTACCAATCAGCTTGAAGTTGATTTCCAATCAGCATGAAGTTGAATTACAATCAGCTTGTCCTGATGAAGATATCTACAGTCAAAAGGTACTGACAATGCTCTGCACTACTGCTACAGTTGTTTACCCCCTACTGAATTTGAATTCCAGAATATTCCTTCCTCAGGTAGTCAACTTTTCTTATTATAACCTAGTAAAAAAATACAGCCTATTATATATATGACACCGTGGTGTGTAGTCGCATAGTTTGCTCCTCCATGTTATATTGAAAAATACTACGGTTGTGTGTATCTGAAGTAATAGAGAATAGTACCAAAAGACAGCTGACGATATTGTGAGTAGTTTGGAAATAATATTCTTGGACACTTACTCCTTGTTTCGAAACAATCGCAGAAATTAGTTGTGGAATTCCAAATATTTCGATGGTGCTTCCACAAGTTCCTGCCAAAAAAGCATGAGAGTTTTTGCGCGATTTCACATTATTCTCACTCACGTCAAGATAATACCATAAAAACTATAAGGCTGCAAAACCATATCGACCATAGCATTCTTTTATCTCATATCAGCAGTTGTTTCTGTATGAATATAGAATATACGAGGGTGAATCGGAAGAATTATGAGTGGCCAAGAATTAACAAACACAGAATTATTTGATAAACTATCCCAAGTAATACTAACGGAATCATCGAAAACCAAATCTGAATTGAAAGAGGAAATTCAGAAAGAAAATAAAAAAATTTTGGATAGCTTACTACTACAGGAAACCAAAATTGAACAACTCGAAAAAACCAGTCGCAGTTTGGAACTCAACCACAAGCTGAGTGACAGGAAGCAACGGAGAAACAACTTGATCATATTTGGGTTGGAAATACCTGAACGAGAAAATCTGATAGACTTTGTTTTGAAAAAAGTTGATGACTTACTTGGTGTCAACATTCTCCCAAATGATATAAATAATATTTTCTCGTTTGTGACTTCACAAAAAAGTAAAATTGCCGCTAAAATTGAATTCATCTCATATTTAAAGAAAATATCTGTTTTGCAAGAAGTTGGAAAACTGAAAGGCACGCAGATATTTATCGCCAACGATCTGAGTTATGATGATAGACAGGAGCTGAAGGTTTTACAAGAATATTTGAAACTCGCGCGATCTAAAAATTTGAATGCGAAGATTCGAGGACTGCGACTACACATTGATGATACCTCGTATACTGCGACAGAAGTAAAGAATCTTGATATAAATGCATTTAGTTGCGTTGTAGACGATAATCAACGATTATCACAGTCTACCAATGATGACCTTGCTGATGGAGAAACCTGAGATGGGTTGGGGCTGGGGGAAGCAGATTCACCTAAACTTCCAAAGCCTAAGAGAAAACGTGTACAACCTGACACTGTATCGAGATATTCGACGAGACAACAGAAGTAGGCTTAGGGCGAGTTGCTGGTGCGCAACCATACTCTTTGTGATTTTTTTTTCTGGTTATTTTCAAAAAACATTGTTTTCTCTTTTTTTTTTCGTGAATATTATATTATAGTTTGAATAATCTTTTTTGGTTGATTGTTGTAATATATCCACTATCTTGAGAATGCCTTTGAAACTTGCTCATATGAATGTGCGCTCATTGGTAGCTAGTTTTAATAATTTCAGAATGGTTCTACAAGATCATAACTTTGATGTTGTTGCTGTAACAGAAACTTGGTTGACAGAAAATATTTTAACTGAAGCTGTTGATATAGATGGGTATAATTTTGTAAGGAAAGATCGAGTAGGTAGAGGTGGGGGAGTGGGACTCTATTTGAAAACATGTTTTCAGTATGAGCTCATAGAAGTGGATAATTCTATAGAACAAATATGGGTGAATTTGAAATTTAGAACAGAATCATATTATATTGGTAGTTTATATAGACCTCCAAATCAAAATTGCAATGATTTCTTAGAAACTCTAGAGAATACTTTCGCAAGCTTTTTATTGATCACAAATAAAATAGTCTGTGGTGGTGATTTCAATATTGATATTATGAATGTACAATCTTCCGCCGTTAATAACTTATTTTCCATGTTGGACACTTTGTCATTTTCGCAAATCATCGATGAGCCAACTCGTGTAACAGGTACTTCATCAACATTGATAGATTTATTTTTACACAGTGATGGCGTTGAAGTAGTCGAAACTAAAATTCTATCAATACCTGATATTTCGGATCATGAGTTGATTCAATGTACTTTACATACTGATTTTCATACTGACAAAATAATCATCAGGGAATATCGAAGTATCAAAGAGGTTGATATAAATCAGTTTCAATCTGATTTAGCATCCATTCCATGGAGAAACATTTATGACATAGATTTGGCAGAAGAAAAAGTAGATTTTCTGTATCACAACCTGAATATACTGCTTGATATTCACTGCCCGTTAACAATATCTAAATTCTCGAAAAAATTTGCTCCTTGGATGACAGACAATATCAAGATATTACAAAAACTAAGAAAAAAAGCTTTAAGCCGCTATAAAAAGAATAAAAATCAACGTAACTGGGAATATTTCAAACAAATTCGTAATTATACTACTCTGGCAGTGAAACATGAAAAAAAAGCATATTTGAACCACCAAATGAAATACTCTAATAATATTTGGAAGGATTTTAGGGACTTGAACGTATATGATAGAAGAAAAAATCGAGATATACCAGATGAGCTTAGTAATGCTGAAGAAATAAATAATTACTTTTTGAATTCAATTCCTGATATATCAACAGCAGCCACTGCAGATGTGGTTGATTTTTTTGATACAAATAAAATAACAAATTTAATATCTACTGATTTACTTTTCAAACAAGTCACTGAAATCGAAGTTGCAAAAATTATTAACTCTATTAAATCAAACGCCATTGGATCTGACGGTATTGGAATAGATTTTATAAAATTGTGTTGTCCTTTTCTTCTGGAATATCTCACTCACATCGTTAACTCATGCATTATTCAGGCTTATTTTCCACAAAAATGGAAAGTTGCACAAGTTATGCCATTACCAAAAGGAAATCAGCCAAAATCATTCAAAGATCTAAGACCAGTCAGCATTTTACCAGCACTCTCAAAAATATTGGAGAGAATTATCAATATACAGCTTATAACTCACGTTAATGAGAATGGAATATTGCCTGAAACTCAAGCAGGTTTCAGACATGGATATAGTTGTGCTTCAGCTCTACTCAGTGTTACTGATAGGATTTTGAAGGCTGCTGATGAGAGTAAACTCACAATTGTAACACTATTAGATTATTCCAAAGCCTTCGATAGCCTCAACCATGTATTATTATTGTCAATTTTGAAATATATAGGATTGGGGAAAGATGCACAAAAGTTTTTCCGCAGCTATCTCTCAGATAGGTCGCAAAAAGTAATTTTGAAAAATATTTCATCGGGTTTGAAGACTGTCAAAAGTGGAGTTCCACAAGGCTCGATTCTTGGCCCACTTCTTTATAATATTTATACATCTTTTCTATACAAAAGTTTAACATATTGCGAAACGCAATATTATGCAGATGATACACAGCTGATTTTATCATTCCACATCGCAGATGTACTGGAAAGTTGTGAGAAAATTAACGATGATCTCAAGAGCCTTGAATATATATCTCAGACTTATTCCTTGCAGATGAATCCAAGTAAGAGTGTAGTATTGCTATTTGGTCCAAAAAAGGCGAAAGAATTAGCACTCCCTTTGATAAACATCACTGTAAATGAATCTCCTGTACCACTCAAAAGGGAAGCTAAAAATCTTGGATTAATAATGGATGATGATCTCCGCTTCAAAAGTCACGTGGCTAACTGTATTCGGAAATCTTTCTCTAGAATAAGAATGCTGTACAATTCTAGAAATTTCCTCAACTCAAATTCAAAGAAATTGTTGTGTGATGCATTGGTTCTTTCAACATTTGATTATTGCGATGTAGTATATGATTCATGTTTAGACGTATCAAGTGTTGATAGAATACAGAGGATACAGAACATCTGCCTTCGATTCATTTACGGGCTCAGGAAATTCGACCGAGTATCTCATAGAATGAGCCAAACAAAGTGGCTTTCGATGAAACAAAGGAGATTTTTATATAAAGCGTGTTTTTATCACAAGATAGTCCGTACTAAAACACCCAAATGCCTGTATCAGAGATTATCCTATCGAACCCACATTCATAATATCAACGTGAGATATAAGAATAATTTGAGTATACCAAAACACAGAACAGCGCTCTACGAAAGATCTTTCACATACAACTGTTCTCGTATTTATAACTACCTTCCTCAGGAATTGAAAAGTCTGTCAACCAACTGTTTCAAGCGGCAACTACGAGAGATGATATTGACAAGGTCATTAAGTATTTTATAATTTACTTCTCGTTTTATATGCTCATGCAAAATGAGACACTCGTCCCTCATTTATGAATCTCTTCATTTCAACTAGAAGTAGTTAGTGTTTTTGTATTTTGTTCTCCTTCGCAAATGAAAAATTATCGAAATTATTGTTGATTCTATCATATGAATGGAGATGATATAATAAGGTATTTATCGTATCGAATTTGTTGTTGTTGTTTTTGTATTGTTTATTTATAGTTCATTTACTAATTATATGGAATTATTTAGTCGATAAGTTATTAATGTTTATAGCTATATAATTAATATTTTGGTATAAAATTCCACCTTTTGAATAGAATAATATGATTATTCAGTTTGGGGTTAAGTTGAGTAGGAATTGACTGGATTCGTCTGGTCATGACTAGACTTCGCCCATTTGCCCTCGGTATTATTGTTTTTTTTTTGTGAGGACAAATAAAGACAAATTATTATTATTATTATTATTATTATTATTATATACCACTAGAATATCATCCCAAAATGTAGTATGAAAATTGATGGTTTTGAAAAAACAAAAAATAATTTTTATATTATAGGACATCTATATTTTTCACTCAAAAATTTCGGAGCCCCACGCACTGGGCGTCAATTTACTGTAACCACCTTTTAGTGAAATTTATTTACTAATAAAAAAAGTGAAACTCGAATGGTTACAGGCACGGTAGCTCTTATGTCTGGTGGCAAAAGGGTGGGTTGACTTCAATATTTTAGACTTTTTTTAAAAAAATATATATACCGGTAGGCGCCACCCAGTTTGATTTATTGGAACTGGGAAAATGTAGTTATGCAAATTTCATTAATATTAGGAGATATAGTGAGGTATTTGAACTGCCTAAAAAAAAATATAAATAAGAACAAGATAGGTGAACTTTGAGGCCACTTTTAATTCTGGTAAAGATTCCTTCAAATTGACAAAGGTAAATATGACCACTGTTACCAGGTGAGTTATAAACATTCATAAAGCACAACCTATGTGCTACCTTCATAAAATGCTAGCAAATCAATTTACATAACAGATAATCTCATGGCCAATATAGTCTGAGTTCACACTGTGTCTGGAGACTAGTAATACCTCATATCTGGTGAATATCTACCTAATATTATTACTCTACAGTCTACATGTATGAAGAAATCTCAATGATATATTATAATGCGAAAAAATTAATTGAGTGAAAAATATGTAATTATAGTTAACCAAGTGAAAACAAAAAAATGAATTTGACTCAATGGTTGGATCTGACCTTTACTCGGAACATCCTGGAATCTTCCAATGGGATTCCTTGACAAAACTACTGGCCTCAGAAGTTATCTTCTACCATTATTTGCTAAAAAATGTGGATTTTAACATCCTGGAATGAACCGGAACAGCAGGGCATGATGATAGGAGGCCACGTGAGACATTAATTCACGTCCTTTCGGTCTCCAGCTGGTGTCCACAGTAGTTGCCGAGGTGTGCCCCTCGTGGCACGTCTCTCAAAAACCCACCAGGGTGAATATAGAGGGACAACCTCACCAAAATTCTCTGGAACCAACAGAATGGCGAGACTGGAGAATCGTGCGAAAAGTGTGAACCGTACGAAACGAACGGCTCTTCATTCAGCCACCTGCAATGGCTGCCTGGATGATGAAGACCAACAAATCTATAAAATAAAACCCCAGAACCTGTAGTGGAATAACCCCTTGAATTTACCCAAAGATGTCTTACCTTCCCGAAGGAATGGCCCACAGAAAAAAGGTGGAGATGATCACTCCCCAGAGGTTGGAAAACCAAGAAATGCCGATTAATTTCGACATCGTGGAGCAGTACTCACGAAAGCCCAAAAAAGAAGAAGGCGTAACAGGAAATATTTTCACATATCCTGTGCAGAGCGTTCTTGATAATTATTATGAAAAACCAGTTG